TTTGTTCTTTAGACACAAACCTTTGGTTTTCTAGTACCTAAAAGCACCAAAAATATTTATTATGAATGTTATTTTAATTAGACACTATCACTATCACTATGCTCCCGTTGTTCATCGATTTGCTCGAGCGGGCCCAGTAACTTCTCCATTGTGAGACTTCTTGTTACTGTGTATGGCATATTGAATACTCTCAGTAGCTTGCCAGGCTCTCCGAGAGGGGCGGAGGAATCGAACCCGGCTCAGCCGGGCTGGCTGCGCGCAAGGCAAACGCCCTACCGCTGTGCTATGTTAACATTTTAATTAGACAGAAAATAAAAATTTAACAACAAAATACTATTTTCCAAAAAAAGTATAAGAAAAGAAAGCAAAATGTTAAGAAAAGACATTAAAGCAAGGAGGTTGGAAGAAAAATCCTAGTTTCTCCCAGTGGAACAACCTAGGTAAATAAAACGTCAACCCCTAACAAGTCCTTTCAGATGCTAAACAAACAGATGAGAAATTCTATGATTTGAGTGGGGAAGGAGTTCATCACAATGAAAAACTGGCTCCAGGGACTGGAACAATAATACAGTGGGAAGGGTGCTTGCTTTACATGCAGCTGACCCAGGTTCAAACTCCAGGACTCCATACGATCCCCCAAGATCCAGGGGGAGTTGGGGACCAGTTATTCAGCTATCCAGATGGTACCAGTAATCGAACTGGGTCACGTGCACACCTCTGTACTATGTCGCACCACCTAAACATTATATTAACTTGCCGAAAAATAGTATTTTTAATGCTGTGACAGTGACAGGGTCCGAGAGATGGCGCCACAGGCTGTAGTGCATGCTTGACATTCAGGAGGCCCAGATTCCGTTTTCAGTACCACATAAGTCCCGCAAAATGTTACCAGGACAACTCTGAGCACAAAGCTGGGTGTAGCTCTTGAACACTGCAGGGTATGCCTCCCCCTCAAAGAAAAATACTTTAAAAAGGTGAAAAGCAATGACACTGATTTTGAACCTATCTTGTGTCTCAGATCTTTCTAAATCAATGCATTCATTACCCTAAATCCTTTGCTGAAGTAAAAGTAGTATTACTTTCATCCGTACCTGTGAATTTATACTGTTTCCACCTGGAAAATGTGACGTTATCTAAACTGATCTGCAACAAAAGTATAAAACTGAGGAAAACCTACAAAAAATTAATCACTACGTTCCTTCCAAAGGGGAGCCAGATAGTACAGCAGGTAAGGCACCTGCCTTGCACAAGGCCACCCAGGTTCCATGGTTCCATCCTCAGCAACACAGACCCCCAATTATTGCCACGAGTGATCCCAAACCACAGAGCCAGGAGTAAGTCCCGAGTATTGTCAGGTGAGACTCAAAACCCAAAAAATTTTATAGCAATAATTACTGCAATTACAGAAGATATTCGGTCCTCCCGTTGTTCATCAATTCGCTCGTGCGGGCCCAGTAATGTCTCCATTGTGAGACTTGTTGGTATTGTGTTTGGCATATTGAATATGTCATGGGTAGCTTGCCAGGCTTTATAGAAGATATATACATTCATTAAATCTAATCATGCATTTGGGCTTTTACTTTCTGTGCTCTCCCCACGTTATTTTCTTTATTTGAGTTTTACAAATATGCTGGCTTATAGTGTAATGAAAATCCAACAAAATCGAGTTATTTACCAGAGTCTAAGGAGTGCTATCCCAGTACTCCAGTGCAAACACAATCAGCACTTGTCACCAGCTGTGACAAAGAGGACACAGGCTCAGGTAATTAACAATCCTGAGATAATCAATATGAAATCCCACTTTGGCCATCTGGCTATATTTAACTTTACTCATCAATCAGAGCATCTGCGAAAGAGAATTTGTATAAATCAATGTTAAGCGGCTGGCTCTCCACCTACATTATGTAGTACTTTGATTTCGAGTCAAAGAAAACTGCTCAATCACAAGTGAACCTACCCAAATTGGTGCTAACATCGTCAACAGTACTAAACTAGACGGTAAAACTCCTTTTCCAGAGTGAACCACAGTTGGATAAAGCACTCTTTAATCTCCTTTACAATTTAATTTCCCAGGACTGAAATTAAGTTTGCTTCAGAAAGAGCAAATTGCTTAAGAAAAAGCATGGTGAAGAAATCTAGGGTTCTTGGTTTTGTTTTGGGAGCCAAGCCTAGTGGTGTACAGAGGTCTATGAGGTAAGTAAGGGCAGGAACCAGGACCCCCACATGCACCTCACCCTCTTAAGGTTATTTCCCCAAGCTGACAAATGCTGACATATTTGTTCTGCAAATATGAAGTGGTTGTCTGGAGTTTACGATGCTTACTTGCCTTGCATGTTACAAACCCTGGCTTGATATTGGCACCCCATGGACCCCTGAGCACAGAGCTGTGAATAGGAGCCACTGAGCACTGCCAGTGTGACCCACACTCTACCCACAACACCCTCAAAAGTTCAACAACTGTTTCTAGCTCTCTCATATGCTAAAGAAAAACTCAGAATTACTATAAATGACTGTCATTTATCACATATAAATAACTATCACAGTTACTTATAAATGTGTTTGAGATTTAAAGATTTCCCTCCCTTTGTTTTATAAACCATTCAGATATGAAGGTAGAGACAAAGGAAGAGTGATGAAAGCTGTAAGAAAATTAATTTAGGGCCTAAAACGTTGGAGAAAGTGACAGAAATCAACGTCACATATATTAATACTCTTGATGTTCAGATATGGCAAGCAGGCACCTGCCATAGCACCTGATTTTTCAACTCATCTTTAAATAAAAGTTGGTGACAATTAATGGTTAGATTGATCTTCTATTTCTTCTCTAGGAAATTCTGAAGGATATAAGTATACATGATCAAGCAGAGCAAAACTACGAATGTGGGATCTGGCAAGGTGCCAGCAATCCATATGGTCCCCCAAGCACGGCCAGGAGTAATTCCTTATCTCAAGACAGTTTGGGGAAAGGAGAGAGAGAACAAAAGGGAATGCCCCGCCACAGAGGTAGGGTGGGATGGGGGCACGGGGGGGGGGAGGGACCGGGGGCGGGGGGGGGGGGAGGGATACTGGGATCCGTGGTGGTGGGAAATGGGCACTGCTGGAGGGATGGGTATTTGATCATTGTATAATTGTAACCCAAGCACAAAATTTGTAAATCTACAACTGTACCTCATGGTGTCTCACTAATAAAAATTAAAAAACAAAACAAATAAACAAAAAAAAATAGTTTGGGGGCAGAAGAATACAGGGTTAAGGTGCTGCCCGCCTTGCATGCAGTATATGCACCTCAAATGGTCCCTCAAACACAATCAGGAGTGATCCCCAAGCACAGAACCAGGAGTTAGTCCTGAGCACTGCAGTAGGCTGGGTCTGATCCTCAGTAACCAGGTTTGCTTGCCTTGCTTTATAACCTGGGTTTGATTCCTAGCATCCCACACAGTCCCCTGAGGCCCATCAGGAATGATCCCTGCAAGCAGAGCCAAAGTAAGGCCTCAGGGAGAGCAGGAGGGTTAGAAGAAAGGAAGAAAAGGAAGAAAAAAAAAGGAAGAAAGAAAGGACAGAAGGATGGACTAACTCTTTACACAACTTCAAGACTGCTGCTTTCATCCTTTCTCTCCTGTTAATGCTCAAGTAATGAACATATGGCTCGGAGGGGTAGGGCAGTGACTTAGGGCCCCTGCCTTGCAAGCATATGGTCCAAGTTACCAGTTCAAATCCTTAGTGTCAATAAAGGAGCCCACCAGGAGCCTGGGGATCCTGGAAGCTCTGCTGATTCCCGGTGCCTCCATACAGCTAAATATAAGAACAACCACTAACAGGTGTGAATATACCCTCCCTCCCACCTCTGGCAGTCACCACCACCAGCAACTGAAGATATGCAATCACCCCAGCCTGCTGTGTCGAGATGGGCACCAAGCACTACAAACAGAAGGTGAGAGCACCTTGACTGAAGAGTGAACAGCCCACCCCTACCCCGCCAAGCAAGCGTAAGTCACCTCTTAAGAGGAGTGCAAACCTCCATGAATGTCACAGATGAGTGTGCAAGCACCAAAAGCTAATGCATGACACCCCTGTCCCCACCCCAAATAACATTACCAGGCACATGTGCACCCCTCCATCAGGGCATCAACAACACTAAGGAAATAAAGGGGGGGGGGCGCGTAGTAATAACACCAAAATGTCAAGAACTACTAACAAAACTTTTACTTTCTAAGCAGATTTAAACACCTGTTTGACTATCCACGCCACTGCTCCTTTAAAGGAATTAAGATCTACTGAATTTGATATTTTTCTTACTTTTGTTTTAATAGAGAATTCCTGCCTTGTAACCTGGGCTTGATTCCCCTCTCCCCATATAACTATGTATAACTATGTTTGATTTCCCAAAAAGATAATTTAACGTCGACTCATGTTGTCAAATAACATTCTCCACCTATATTTCTTCATGGCAACCTATATCCTTTGAACTTCTGGGAATCAAAAGATGTTATGGGGGGCTGGAGCGATAGCACAGCAGGTAGGGCGTTTGCCTTGCACGTGGTCGACCCGGGCTTGATTCCCTGCATACCCCCGATGGTCCCCTGGAGCATCGCCAGGGGTAATTCCTGAGTGCATGAGCCAAGAGTAACCCCTGAGCATCGCTGGGTATGATCCAAAAATAAAAAAAATAAAAAAAATAAAAAAAATGTTTGGGACCTCTTTCCATGAAAAGGTACAGCGGTCCTGTTTTTGCATGCGATTTCAAAGGGTTCAGTGTATCCCAGGATTTCCAATGGCTCCACCCATCCCAAGTTCAGAACTCATATTCAGAGTTTCTATGATTAAACGTTTCAGCATTTTATGTTTCTTGATTTCTATGACGAAATGTTACGCATCTTTTAAAGTCTTTCTTAGTAAGACCTTTAGCTCTTACTCAAGTTGAGTAAGCAGCTTCCCATTATAATCCTTACGACTTCCCGGTAACAATCCTGGCAGTCGACAGAAAACTGAGAATTTCTTACCTCCGAAAAATTAACGGCCAAGGGGATGATTCCAGCCACGTAACAGCCCACCAACATAGCCAGAGACAGGAGACTGATGGAGATGAAATCCTCCATTCTTGCCTGCCTTGATTCACCAGACCAGATCACAACTTCTCAGGGGCCTCTGACGGTGCTGGGATTTTTTTTTTTTTAAATACGTGTGGTGGTTCCAAGAGAATAAGTGAGCTTTCCAGTTCGTCTTCACACGAAGACGTGTCCACGGATCCCCTTTCTCTTGGACGTAAGTAAAGTAAAGACGTAGCTGCAAACAACCCCTTTTCGGCTGATGTTAGCACCAGAGTTAAACTTTCGGCGACCTTAGGCTCCAGTCCCTGGATTTCCAATGCCACTCACTGGATTCCCTGGGGTTAACAGAGATGGGTACAGTCACTGGAGAAAAAACGGGCTAAAGAGCGATTTCTTAAATCCTTGGAATGGGGTGTCACACGGTCCCACTGTCTGCCATACACACACACACACACACACACACACGAACAACAACAACAACAACAAAAGTCCTGGGTAGCAGCAGGAAAAGGAAAACCCCACTAGAAAATGTGCAGGCTCTCCAGGTGCCCCTATTTCTCCGACTCCGCCAGGGAGCCCCCTTCAGAACTAGGACTTGCCCACCAGTCTCTGCAAACTCTCTTCCGAGTCTGGGAAAAGCAACCTGCAGCGCTCCAGCGACGAGTCTTAAGGGTTCAGCAGCGAAGCTGACACAAAGTCGTCTCTGCTCTAGACCCGGTGCTGCCCATACTCCTCCACTCCGCGCGGCCCTGACTCTGAGCCACGGATACTAGAGAAGCCATGGCCGCCAAGTGGCACCTCTTCATTACAGCCACTTCCGGATTGTCTCACCGTCGACCCCGTTACAAGGGCACTTCCGGGTTACAACCGACCTATGGCCCGGAAATTTTAATCTTGCCGCCATTTTTAAGTCGGGCTTAGCCGGACGGTGACTTTCACTCTCTCTATCGGCCATCGTTTTAGCCGTGTACCCAAAAAAATATAAGTGCACGGATGAGGAGCGTCTTGAAATACACTCATAGCCTGTCGAGCTCCAAAACACCGCTTGGGGAATGGAGGAGAGAAAAAGAAAAATCTGCTTGCCCTCATCCAAAATGGCTGAACCGGAGTCTCTATTGGTCTAGCTGCCGGAAACGGGAAGGTCTCTATGGTCCCGAAGGCACCGGGGCCGAGAGTTGCTGACGACTTCCGGCGGCTCCTCTCGCGGGGATTGGCTGTTGGCGGCGTTGCTTCTCAGCTCGTGTGCGGCGGAGGTGTCGGCCGGGGGTTGTTGCATCGAAAGTGTTTGGCGCCATGGTGAGCAAGGCCCGCGCGGCTGCCCGCTTCCTCAGCCTCTCAGGCGTCCCCAGTCCGCCCCGCGATGTGCGGGCCCGCGCTGGCTGCCCGCGGGAGCGTGCGGCACCCCGGGCGCCTCCAGCCGTGGGCCCGTCCTGCCCGCGGCGGGAATGCCCGCGCTGCTGGCGCTAGGCCCCGGACGCGGGTCCGCCCGGGGGTCCCGCTCCCGCCCGCCGCCGCGCCGCGGGGCAGCTGCTGCCCGGCGGCGGCCGTGCCACCCGGAGGAGGTTCCGCTAGGGGAGCCGGCCGGCGGGGAGACGCGGACGGACGCGCCTGTTCCGAACGCTCCGGCCGGGGACGGGAACAATGGCCACGGGAGCGCTGACATGAGCTCGCTTGCACCCAGCGCGGGGGCCCGGAGGGGTCCTCTCTGCTTTAGAGTTGCGCCAGCAAGTGTTGCATTGGGGTGTTTTTTTAATTTTATTTTTTTCGTCGTTGTGGTTCTGTGCTTGTTTTTTCCCCCCCCCCTCTCTTTTTTTACCAGACCCCTGGGTGGTTGGGTTAGCCCTGTCTCTTCCCTCCTCAATCTCTCCTTCACGATTCCTGTTCTCTGGGCGCTGGAGCTGAGAGGATCGGTCCCGTGGAGCCCGCCCCGCGCTCGGAGCGGTCTGGGTGGGTCTGGGCTGGCGCCTCCGCCCCAAAGGTGATGCTCCCCGGGGCTCCGAGACGGCGCTGGTGGGTTCCGGTCGCGGCCGCCATGCAGGATTGCTTCTCTCGTGGCCGCAATTGTTCGTGCCTGGCAGCCGGGCTCTGCTCGCAGCGAGTTTTTCCCTGGCTCTGCTTTGCTGAATTGGGACAACTCCGCGTTACCCCGAGAGGTCTAAAGACTGGATTTCCAGTTTCCAAGCTCTTGCGCTCTCCTTTTCTCTCTCTCTCTCTCTCTCTCTCTCTCTCTCTCTCTCTCTCTCTCTCTCTCGTGCGTGCTCACGCTTGCTCGCTTGCTTCTTTCCCCTCCCCCCTTTCTCTCCCCCCTCCCCTCTTGGGCCACTTTTTGGCTTTGGTCAATAAGTGAGAAAGTGTCGATAACAACCAGTTAGTGTCGGGCAGATAGCCGTGATCATTTATCAGCTTGACTTTAGTTTAAAAAAAAAAGCAAAATATGTATTTAAAGTCAACAATGTATTGGCACAAAAGCCTTAAATACTCGGGCTCTACCGGAGAGAAGCTTCATTACCCCTCTGCCCCCTTCTTTATTTTCGGTACCGTTGGAAAAGCCTTGGTAGCTAACTAGCAAAGTGTAATAGTTATGCAACAGAATAGTTGGATGTGTCTACGCTTGCTAACATGTGTGTGTGTATTTATTTATTTTTTTGTAATGGTCATTTCCCCAACGGAAAAAGACCTTCAGGAAGGCAAGAACCACATCTATCTAGGAAATTGGGGGGGGGGGGGTAATAGGAGTAATTTTAAATTTTAATAAAACAAGGGCTTCTAAAAATAGCTTTAATAAGAAGAAAGTGACAAACTATTATCAGAGGGATCATAATTTTAAACTGCTGGCAACAGGAAAGCATTGCCTGTCACTTATAAAAATAATCATTTTAATTCCAGTTGTAAACTCTTGTTCTTAGTAACTTTTAATCTTAAGTAGTCTTGAAAGTAGTTAAGTCCATTTGTGTAGCCATTTACACATCTTTCCTCTTAATTAAATCAGTCCTTTGATTTATATTAGAATAACAAAACCTACTTGAGCTAAGGAAATAGCTCCTAAGACTGGGGAGAGTTCAGTGTTGGATCCCCACCCACGCACCCTCCCTGCCCTTAACTTGGTGGAGGGTTGGTTGCATAGTACAAAAGCGGTAATAGTGCATGCTGGAGATATGTATTGGTTTCCTGGCATGGTGCTAGGAGCTGGGAGCACAGAGCTGGGAGTAGTTGCCACTTAGTGAGCAGGTGGCTTACAAAAAGCCTGGTCCATCTCATCCTAACATAGTTGTGTCAGTTGGCTCAAAGTGAGTGCACAGCCCTTGTGCTTGCAAGGTCTTAGGTTCGGTCTGGTGCCACAGGCCTTTCCTTCCTTGCCTGGCTTCCACAGAGCACTATTGGGGAAATTGCCATCCTCTCCCCACTAGGCTTTCTTTTTTTTTAAATTGTTACGAGGGCTAGAGAGTGCTGGGAATTGAATTCTCAGCCCTGAGTTGTGAGTTTTGTTTTGCTGTGGGCTAGTGGACCAGGCTCCTTCGTCCAAAACTTGTGTTCTAGTCCCTTTGAGCTGTGCCATAGGCGTTTTATCCCAGACTCTCTTGATCTCTTTAAAAATGTTAGTTTTGTCTCAAACTCTCTATCATTATGACTCAACTGAAGATGTAGTTCCGTTGTTGAATGCTTCCTATGGCCTCCACCCCAATCCTGGGTTTAATTCCAGGCACTGAAACACACCCCAGCATATCAGAATGACTTGTTTCTTGATAGCGAGGAATAAATTAATGCTTTTTATATTGTGTTCATAGTAATTGAATATGGTTTGGGGGCTGTTTATTCAGATGGTCTAGGAAAGGGTAGGCATAAGCTATTTCAGTTCCATTTGTTGATGGCTTAAATTGTCAGGGTTCTTTCATTAAGAAAGTTTTGTGTGAAACCCAGTACTTCACATAGGAAGATAAATTAGTAGTTTAGATAAATACTAATAAAGCAAAATAGACGGGGAAAGTATGAGTAGTTTGATTTATTTAGGGTTAGGTTTACGGTGAGGTTGTGTTTTCCTTAGATTTAGTTCGTGAGAGGCAGGAAGTTGTAAAGGGAAGTGATTTTAGCAGCCAGTGGTTTGGAGATAGTCTTGGGCAGGGGGTAGAGGTGTCATTGGACACAGGCAGGATGGTGCTAAACAGTGTTTATAGTATAACATCCACAACAAGGCATCTAGCCGAAAAATAGTGCCAAGATTGAGAAAATAGACCAACTGACAAAAACATACCCTGTCCCTTCCACCCTCCCCCTTCACCATGTTTAGAAATGTATGTTACTCTCAGGCACATTCATATTTTCTTATAATCACCTGTCCTAGGTGATTTTAGTGTTTTGAAATGCAGGGTTTGGGTACAATATAGCTTAAGGTCAGTCATCTCCTAGATGAATAAGGTTTTCTGGAGAAATAGTTTTTAATTGCCAGTTTATTCGCCAAGTGTCTCAGGTACTTGCAGTCAAAGTATTTACCTTTTCTGTTACCATAACCCCATATCTGAGTTTCTGCTAGGGATTTAAGAGGGCTAGACATTTTTAAAAATTTTGACCAGAAGAGATGTACAACTTAGCAGTTAGTGATCGAGGGGAAAAGAGAATACCATTAAAACAGTACAAAGTGTAGCTTATTCTGAGTACTTGCAAGCAAGTAGACAGTGCAGTAAGTTTAAAAAAACATTTATTAAGGACTGGAAGAAGAGAGTTCTTATTGCATTATAAATGTAGATTCTGATGCCACATTTAGACAAAGATTGTAGTCTTTGTAATATAATGCTCTATTAATAACGGGTGATTGGTTATACTGTGAATGAGAATTTTAAAAAGCTTATATTGAATTCACTTTTCCCCCTGCAGTCTCACACCATTTTACTAGTCCAGCCCACCAAGAGGCCAGAAGGCAGAACTTATGCTGACTATGAATCTGTGAATGAATGCATGGAAGGTAAGTTGACACTAATTAAATGAAAGTTTGGGGTTTTTCCCTGTGGCATTGACTATTGGAAATTGTTTAATTTAGGAATTGGGTTTGTGTTTATCTACATATTTTCTACAGATCTTCATTTGAGCAAGGAGAGTACCTATTCAGAACTTTTTTGGTTGAACATTTGTGGGGGGTGGTATGTTGGGGCCACACCCAGCAATGTTCAGCGGCTACTTCTGGCTCTGCGTTCAGAAATTACTCCTGCCGGTACTAGG